AGAGAGAACATATGATATTTGTCTTTTTTGGATTGGCTTCTTTCACTGAGCATAATGTTCTCTAGTTGGGACCTCTTTGTTGCAAGTGGTAGAATTTCATTTTTTTTTTTTTAATGGCTATGTGGTATTCCAAGAAGTACATGTAACCTAGTTTCTTTATCCATTCCTCTTTTAATGGGCATCTAGGTTGTTTCCATATCTTTACTATTGTGGATTGTGCTGTTATAAATACAGGATTGCATGTCACTTTTTCATATGCAGATTTCAATTCCTTTGGCTATATTTCCAAAAGTGGGATAGCTGGGTCATATAGTAGATCAATTTTCAGTTGCCTGAGCAGACTCCATATTGACTTCCTTAGTGGCTTCACTAGTCTATACTTCCTCCAACAGTAGAGTAGGGTACCTTTTTCCCATTTATACATACACATTTCCTCCAACACACCTTGCCTTTTGAATATTACTTATTTAGCTTGTTCTATTTGGTTCCTTAAGGCTGATTAGTAAGACCATACCAACTAAATAAGTTCCACAATGACGAAAAGCTGATTGTTTACAATAGATTGGAGGCAGAACTCAATCCCAGGCCTTCTTATATGCAATGGCAGCTATGTCCATCCTTAATTTGAAGCATTTTTTCCTCTTATGGTTTTGATCTATCTACAGATGTTTAACTAAAAGGTACAACAGAAAAATCTGAATAGCATACAGTCAAATATTTTCATTTCTATATACATTTTTAACATAAAGAAAATGTAGAGATAGGCAGGTCTAATAGTTAAGGTACCTGCTAAGACACCAGCAACCCACATCAAAGAACCAAGGTTTAATGATTTGATTCTTGGCTCTGGGTCCTCACCCATGGTTCCTTCCAGATGCAAAGCCTTGGAAACAACTCGGGTTGATTGGGTCCATGCCCTCCACAAAAGGAGACTCAGACAACATTCCTGGCTCCTGGAATCAGCCCCAGCTGATTGTATTTAGAAAGTGAACTAGCACACAGAGATTCTCTCTGTCACTGTTCCTCCCAAAGTAAAAAATTTGTATATGTATATATACATATATATTTTAAATCTGGAATCTCCTTTCTTTTTCAGTATACTTATCTAATTAGTTAACCGTTTCTTTTCCCAAACTGTTTTATTTTATTCATTTTTATCCAGCTGTCTGTCATCATATGACACCTCTATGTCCAAGGTTTTCTCTACAACCTACACTTCATAGGACAATTTTCCTTATGTGGTTGAAGGTATGTGATGGCTCAATGGCTAAATTTTCACTTTACCAAAGAAGATTAGAGAATAAAGGAAAAGGAAAAGTCATGTTTCACTGAGGGTGAGTGTGGTCAAATGCATAAACAGATGTGAGGTTCAGGACAGCCTCCTGAACTTCTAGAGAACCCCTGGCCTTGCTGCTGCCCACAGGGTCACTGGCCCCGCCCAAATAACCTCAAAAACCTTAATGTTTTTGCTGGGATTGGACACATTGGCCCAGCAAGCTATGCCTGCAAAGAACAGCTTCTCTGATCCCCTCTCTTCCAACCCTCCTGCTTCTTATCCTAAACCCTTCACATTTAGAAACACAGGAACGCTTTTGCTGCCCATCACCCACATCTGCACCCTCACAGGCACTGTTCCTCTCCAGTGCTTGCCTGCAAGGCGTGAACACCAACCTTACGCTCACTTCCCTCACCTTCAGGCAGGGGTAGTGATGTCCCAAGCCAGCTTGCCTGATACCCAAAACCCCAGGTTGGCCTACAAGTGGATGCCTATGCAGGTGAATGCTTTCAAGAATTGGAGTGTAGCAATTAAGAGTGAAGTCAGCATTTGGAGGTAAGAGTAGGGTGAAAAGCAGCTCTCCCTTCCTCTAGCAGTTTGTTATGGGGAGATGGAACCAAAAAACTCCTTCAGCCATTTGACTCCAGAGTAGAAAATAAACTATGGTTCATACCAACAAACTCAGGAAGAGAAAATCAGAAAACTGTGTATAAATAAAACTTGATCAAACAGACCTTGAAATCTACCCTACCTCTGGATTTTTAACTGACATGCCATTAAAACCTATTTAGGTTGGGCATTCTTTTAAAACCCAAAGAATACTGGCTTATATTTTTATAAAAATACTTTCCTTGTGGATTTTTTTTTTGGGTTAAGTGTGTTAACATTTGTCTTACCAAAAGTACACATTTTCCACAAACTTTATGTGTAAGTTTGATAGTTGCATTCATTTTGTTCTGCTCTTGGTTGGTATAAGCCACCAAGATCTTAGTGAACTCAAAGATAAACTTAAAAATATTCAGACACTGCTGCTGTATGTATTTTTTTCTATGAACAACATGACTGTTACCAATTCCAGTGTAATAAACAATAAAAGCAGGTAGACCACAGGAGACAGAAGCTTAATGATGCTCAGGTACACAGGATGCAGCCTGCCCTACAGCCTCTGCCCCTGCCTCAACTCTGAAGTGATGACCTGTCAAATCTGCTTTCCCAATCTGAGCTGATGATTCTCGGCACAAACTGCCCCCCAAGGGTCATTCGGGGGCAGAAGAGAGTAGGGATGTTCAGTAAGCAGCTGATGCCACTCCTCAGTGGGAAGATGAACCAATTCATTAAAAACATAATGATTTCCAAGCATATGGTGATCCATAGATGCTCATGCATAAATTTTATCATTAGAGTTGTAGGCATTTTCTTTCAGACCTACATTCTAACCTGGCTGCTTTCCAAGCAGTTCTTGGAACAAAAGCAGCAGAGGCCAAATCCACACTCTTTTCCCACAGCACAGCACAACACCTGTTTTAAGCTGAGAAAATGGCTGGCACTGAGAATTACAGCCTTCTGCAGGACTAATCAATGCTTTTATCATGGTTTTTCCTGGAAAAAAAGAAACTACTAAAATATCTTCATCAACATGTCTGAGTTGAACAGAAAATGCAACAACAGAAAAATGCCAAGTAACTGTTATTGTTTCCTTTGAAAACTTTTGTAAATTGGTCTCCCGGAGGCTTAAATGATCTTTTCCATGGGAACCCTCCTGGTGGTTCAGAAAATCCCAGAGAAATTTCATAGCAGGTTCTCCAAGGAAGAGATGCTGATTGATTTTTACCATCATTCAGATGTTTTGCCAATATTTCATTTAAAGAACCGTTGGTGCACCAGATAGTCTTTTTTTTTTTAAAGATTTATTTATCTGTATTGGAAAGTAAGATATACAGAGAGGAGATGCAGAAAGATCTTCCATCCTCAGGTTCACTCCCCAAGAAGCCCTGATGGCCAAAGCAGAGCCGATCGAAGCCAGGAGCCGGGAGCTGCTGCCAGGTCACCCACCCAGGTGCAGGGTCTTTGACCTTACTGGATTCTGGCTCCCGCCTGAGTGCAGCCAGAGGACATGTGCACCTCGTCAGCCGCATGGGCCCAGTCAGCCCCTCAGGGTGATGACACTGCTGTCCGCCATTGAAACACTTCCGCCGGCCTCTATGTGAACTTGGTTATTTTACACAAATTCTGGCAATTTATTTGGGATAGTCAAAATTTCAAAATTTCCCTTGGTGAAATGTAAACACACACAGAGACTATCTCATGAAGCAGTTGTGAGTCATCCTCAACTGCTTTCCCAGGCCACATGCAGGGAGCTAGATGGGAAATGGAACAGCCAGGAAGTGACCAGTACCCATTTTTGGGATCCCGGAGCATGCAAGGCTGGAACTTTAGCCACCAGGCTACCGCACCGGGTCCATCACTGCAAAGCCTTTTTGGATCTTTGTTAACCATGGCAAAATCTTTCCTAAGCCCAGTCTCCAGGGTCAGTAACAACACAGCCAGCCAGCCTGTGTGATCTGAATTTGATTTATGCAATACCTCAATAGAATAATCTTTAATATAAAGTTCAACTTCATTATTTCTTCCATTACTGAAATTACCTCATAAGTATAACATGAGAAAAATAATGAAATTTATTTCATTGTTTGAGTTATGAAAGACCAGTGTGCCAAGGTAAATTTCATTTGTTGAAGGTAACTCTTTAGCAACTAACCTAACCCTACACAGCATTTTGAAAGAATTTCTGGAGGAGACACGAACCCAAGCCCTCAGAATGTTTCTCTAGTTGAATTCACACAGCAAACTGCTAAGACTTTTCCACCACATTCACCAGACTACTACCCAGATAGACGGAAGCCGACCGCTCCGAGGAAACCACCCATGAAAAGACCGCCAGAAAACGTGCCCTCGGGGCCAGGGCGCACACCAAACTTCAAACTGCCCCCTTCATCATACAGATAAGAAAAGCCGAGTGACGACCCCACACATTACACCTTGGAAGCCACACATGTCCCCAGGAATTCGGGCTCTGACCTTACCGGCTTCTGGCTCCAGCCTGGTTGGCCCGGTCAGCTCCGTCCGCACCGCGAGCTCCTCAGCTCCTCAGCTCCGGCAGCCCCGTGGGCACCGTGGGCACCGTGGGCTCCTCGGCCCCTCAGCTCTGGCAGCACTGTGGGCTCCTTGGCCCCTCAGCCCCGTGGACACCGCGGGCTCCTCGGCCCCTCAGGCCCTCAGCTCCGGCAGCCCCGTGGGCACCGCGGGCTCCTCGGCCCCTCAGGCCCACGGGCACCGTGGGTTCGTCAGCACCGCGGCCCCTCAGCCCCGTGGGCACCGTGGGCTCCTCGGCCCCTCAGGCCCTCAGCTCCGGCAGCCCCATGGGCACCGCGGGCTCCTCGGCCCCTCGGCCCCTCAGCTCCGGCAGCCCCGGCAGCCCCCGCAGCGGAAGCTTCCCTCAGACCATGGCGCCGACACGCCACTGCCAGCCGCCAATGAAACAGTTCCGCCGACCTCGATGTGAACTTTTTTTTACATAATTCCTGGAAATTCATTTGAAATAGTAAAAACTTCAAAGTTCTCCTTGGTGAAATGTGAACACACAAACCCAGACTATCTCGCGAAGCAGGTATGAGAATTTTAAGAGCTCCTAATTCATTAAATGCCTGGGTGCCAGATATGATACATGGTGGCAGTTGCAATGAAGGTGGTGGCAGACATGGAATTAGTGAAGGTAGCGTTTATGGCTGTTGACTGTGTTAATCAAAAAAAAAAAAAAAAAAAAAAAAAAAAACAAGAAAAATACGCTAGAAAAGTGACAATTATTTCCGAGTTCCCATATTGTTTTTAAAAGAGATATAGGATGAAATCATTTTTCTGAAATTTCTTTCGATTTCAACCTTCAAGTAGAATGTCATTTAACATGTCATATATAAAAATATAACCGAAAAGCATTTAGATAAGAAAAACGTTAATATCGTTGTCTCAGTCTGATCAGGTTTCCATAACAAAATAACATAAACCCTGTGGCTTATAAGCAATAGCTGTTTGTCACTATTCTAGAGGTTGGGAGGCCCAAGGACAGGGTGTCAGCTAGGGTGGATTCAGCAAGGGTCCTCTTCAGACATCTTGCTTTGATGATTGTGTTAGCAGGCTCTTGGAGGCATCTTTCATTAAGGGAACTAATTTGGTTCATGATCGCTGAATGATGGATCCTCCAACCTATCTAAACATATCACCTTCTTGGTCTCAAAAGAAAGTTAATCCCTGATGCAAAAAGTAATGGAGTATTTATAAATAAAAAGCATAGTACTTTCAAAATACATTTAATAACCTTAAAAAATGTCATCCAGGGCCCAGCATGGCAGCAAGTGGCTAAAGTCATGGCCTTGCACATGCTGGGATCCCATATGAGCACTGCTTCATATGCCGGCTGCTCCATTTCTCATCCAACTCCCTGGTTATGGCCTGGGAAAGCAATAGAGGATGGCCCAAAGCCTAGGGACCCTTCACCCTCATAGAAGAGGCTCCTGGTTTTGGACTCCCTCAGCAACAACCATTGCAGACATTTGGGGAGTGAAACAGTACATTGAAGATCTTTCTCTCTGTTTCTCCTTGTCTCTATAAATCTATCTTTCCAATAAAAATAAATAAAATCTTACAAAAAGTCTACTAGAGTCTGAAAAATGACTATTGAGAATTATTGAATTTGTAATTTCCCTTTTTAACATAATGTTGATAATGTTATGCCAAATGTCCTAATCAGTCATATTTAGAGCTCATGAAAATTATGATACTTCAACATGCTTTATAACAATTTCTTTTACAATGTGATTTCCACATTAATGTGTTGGTGAAAAGTAGTCCTTAAGATTACTGCATATCAGTCAGTTCCAGGACACAGAGCAGGACTGGAGTCTTTCTTTGATTTTATTTTTTCTATTAATGGCTCAAGATTAAATAAACAATGACACTCTAAAGAATCTACTGAAAATGAATGCGGAAAAGCCTGTAAAAATCTACAGCAGCAAAACGCTGGAGCTGCGGGAGACCTCAGTCATGCCCAGTAGTGTGTGGGGTGGCCAGGGCTTGCTGGGAGTAAGCATGTTTCTGCAGCTTTGACGGGGCCAATGAGAACGTTTGGCATGTCCTGGAAGTCGAATCAAATTCTCCTGCAGCGCTGGCAGGTCTTAGGCCTCACAGCGACTACATCATTGGAGCAGATACAGTCATGAATGAGTCCGAAGATATGTTCAGCCTGATTGAGACACACCAAGCCAAGACCCTGAAGCTTTATGTGTACAACACAGACACTGACAACTGTCGCGAAGTGATTATCACCCCGAATTCTGCTTGGGGAGGATAAGGCAGCCTGGGATGTGGCATTGGATGTGGTTATTTGCATCGAATACCTACACATCCATTTGAAGAAGGAAAGAAAATCTCTCTTCCAGGACAAATGACTGGTACACCTATTACTCCTCTTAAAGACGGGTTTACGGAGGTCCAGCTGTCCTCAGTTCATCCCCCATCTTTGTCACCGCCCGGAACCACAGGAATTGAACAGGGTCTGTCGGGACTTTCTGTTAGCTCAACTTCGCCGGCTATCAATGACGTGCTCAGTACAGGTGTACCAACAGTACCGTTATTGCCACCACAAGTAAACCGGTCCCCTACTTCTGTTCCACCGCTAACCCAGCTACAACGCTACCAAATCTGATGTCTTTACCAGCCAGACTGGCCAACCTCCCTAATCTCTCCAATCTCCCCAACCTCAACCTTCCCGCGCGGCACCTCCTGCCCGGCGTTGGCTTCCCCGAGCTCGCGAACTCCGGTTTGCCACCTCTTCCTTTCTTGACTCCCCCACAAGCTGCCTGGCATCGCACCTCTGCCCGTGCCATCCGAGTTCCTCCCGTCCTTCCCTTTGGTTCCAGAGGGTCCTTCCACAGCCAGCTCTGGGGAGCTGCTGTCTTCCCTGCCACCCGTCGGTGACCCGCCTTCTGACCCCCTCCCGACTACTGCCAAGGCAGACGCTGCCACCTTGCTCACTGCGGATGTGACGCCCGCCCCTGGCCTGGCCCCCAGTACTGTGGAGGACAGAGGCAGCGACTCTGCCCCAGCCCGGGAGAAGCCGGTGCCCACAGTCACAGAGGCAACTGCCCCCGAGTCACCTTAACTTGGAACCGATCTTGGGCGTTGGCGTGGTGGATTTGTCTAACCACGGGAGTGGGTCTGGAAATGCAAACTGTCATTAATTTCATACTAGTTTGTACCGTAACTATAGGCGTCCTGTAAATAATTCTAAGGGGAAAAATATAAGCAAGAGGACGTGGGCTTGTGTCTTGCCAGTTTGGCGTGAGGCTCATGGGCCGGGAAGGGAAATGGGGAAGTGCTTGTATTTTAAACCAAAAAGCATTGGGAGCCAGGTGGGCTGCCAGGCTCCCACTGCCACCGCCGGGGTGTGCATCTTTGGGGAAGTTGATGGCTGGGTATGCGCTAGGTTCCCTGTCCCCTCCTGTTCCTTTCCTGAAAAATGAAATGTCCTCAAATGCAGCATTTCTTGTACTTTGTAAATTGTTGGAGAGAATACAGACCACTTCACTAAACTGTAAAAGGAAACGCTGTCTTCCTTTTGGTCTCCAAGAGTCACATGGCTACAAAGGTTTACACAAAACTTCCAATTGAAGATGTTTGTTAAAGTTATGCAATGTGCACTATTAATTGAACATCTTTTTTTTTTTAAGATTTATTTTTATTATTTTTTTATTGGAAAGGCGGATATACAGAGAAGAGAGACAGAGAGGAAGATCTTCCGTGCGCAACGGCCCGAAGCCAGGAGGCTCTTCCGGGTCTCCCACGCGGGTGCAGGGTCCCAAAGCTTTGGGCCGTCCTCGACTGCTTTCCCAGGCCACAGGCAGGGAGCTGGAAGGGAAGCGGGGCTGCCGGGATAGAACTGGCGCCCATATGGGATCCCAGGCGTGCAAGGCGAGGACCTTAACCACTTGCGCCACCGCGCCGGGCCCAATTGAACATCTTTTTATTCAGCCTCTACAGATCCTTGTTTTGAGCTCTCAAAATTACTCAGACAACATTTTGTAACTGCTCCTGTTGCTTTATACATACAACATAAAATGACATTTAAAAGAGAAATAAAGGGAGTGTCGCACGGTTTTAAAGCAGAATGTGGCACTTTGTGGCTACGTATAATTTAGCTCTCCTGGGAAAACATCAATACAGCAATAAATGACAGTCATTTTCCGCTTCTTGACATGTCAAAAAAAAAAATTACTGCATACGAACAAGAAAATATTGTTATAAAAGATTTCACCTCTGGTTGTGTAAGGAAAAGAGTAAAATAATTTTCTGAAAAGCATACTTTTAGGAGAAGTAATTCGTTGAAAAACAAATGTTTGAAGAATTCTTGCTTTTTAAGAAATCCATTTGCCCAGCTTCCATTGTTCTAAGCTCTATTAAATGTGTGGAAAATAAGTTAATAAGAAATTTATAAAATTTAACTTCAGTTTAGGAGCTAACCTTAATTGAACAAGTATTTTTTGAGGGCTGACTGTAAACAAACTCTGTTTTGAACATTATATAATAAGAAAGTGAGACCTAATAACAAACAGGTTCCAGCAAGATAGGTACCACCAACAACCTAAATCTGTATAGGACACCTGATGTCTCCTTAATCCTGGGACCTGCTCCAAACAGAAGTGGCAGAAAAGTTGTACAGACAACGGTGCAACCTCAGTATAGTATCATAGGCAGTACAGACAGGTGAGCCAAGACCTGGGGCTACAGAGACCACGGTGGAAATTTAACATAAGAACCCAGACCTGGAACTCACTGGAGGGAGTGGCATAACTGACTGCAAACAAAAAGCCATGTACCAACTGCAGTAAGTAAAATCAAACTGTAGACCTGCGGGTGACAGAGCTTAGAAACCTGCCCCAAGGAGAAGAATCTGATAACCAGAAGTACAATGACCAAGAGCAAAAGAAGAGACAAAGGCACAATGAATATTACTGAAGACTCCCCTGTAAAGGAGCAAAACCCTTTGCCTACCTCTAGTTAACTGAGGAAGACATGAAGAAAATGGGGATACAGAATTCAAAGCACTTGTTACACAGCTTCTTCTCAACAATGAGAAGCACGTAAAGCAGACATTCAAGGAATTTAAGGAATATGTCACACTGGAAATGAATCAAATGAAAGCTGATATATCAGAAATGAAGAATACAGCAAAGCAAATGAAAAGTACAGTGGAGAGTCTCCAAAATAGAATGAAGCAAGCAGAAGAAAGAATCTCAAAAATTAGAAGATGTTTCCTGTCACCAGGGGGAAACAAACAAAAAGCTGAAACCAGAGCTGGATCAGGCCCAAAAAAAGTATTCAAGAACTGAAAGACACTATTAAAAAGCTATTAAAGACACTATTAAAATACAAGTTATGGGGGTGCCAGGAGGTGCAGAGAGAGAAGCTGAGTTTGCAAATATATTCAATGAAATAATAAAGGAAAATTTCCTTAATCTAGAGAAAGATTTGGGAAATAATATCCAGGAGGGGCACAGAACTCCCAAACAGGCTTCACCAAAAGCAAACTTCACCACAGCACATGATAATCACGTTCTCTTCAATCGAACAGAAGGAAAAGATCCTTAAATGTGCACGTGAAAAAAATCAATTGACATATAAAGGAATGTCGATTAAACTCACAGGAGACCTCTCACAGGAAACTCTACAGGCCAGAAGAGAATGGAGCAACATCATTCAGATTCTAAACACAAAACAAAGCCCAGGATAACATACCCAGCAAAATTTTCCTTTGTCTTGAAAATGAAATAAAATTCTTCCACAGTAAAGAAAAGTTAAAAATATGCCTCCTTCAAACCTGCCCTGCAAATGATACTTAAAGATGTTCTCTTGACAGAGAAGAGGAATAGCACCTACCAAAACCAAAGACAAATGAAAACTGATAAAAGAATTTCTGTAGTTTTTAAAGAAAAAAAGTCAGCAATAATTTGCTAGATTCCCTCATTGTTCAGCCACGTTGATGGCACCTAAAGTAACACTTTGTGGTTAAGATTTTTTTGTCAATATTTGTGAGCCTATCACCAGATGTACCCAATATACAATATACAGAGGGCGAAAAAAGAAAATGATGTAAATAAGAACCCTTCATGCTCAAAGACAAAATAACCTAAAGTTGAACATAACATAAAGTTGAACATAAGCTGAACATATGACTCAGAAAAAAAAAAAGAGGTGTCACATCTAAATGAGATCACAGAGGGCCTACTCAAAGACTTAAAATTTATATGTGCCTTAAAAATCGACTGAACGCTTGCACTTGAAAATGAAGAATGTTCTTAGTGCATAAAACAGCAAAAGAAAACATGAAAAGTTAACAAATTGTAGTATATTTTTTGAATAAATGAAAAATAATGAGTTTGACAATAATGAAAGAGAATGGAATATGTATGAGAGGTTATGTTGAGAAAATTGATTAATGGGAGAACACTAAATACTAAAATAAAAAATATGCATTTGGTGTGAGACGTACAAGTGGGATGATAAAGATTTTGAAGACAGAAAAGGAAAAAAACTAAAGAAACTGCATGGAGGATGACCTCCCTTTTCAAAGTAAAGGAAAAACTGGGCTTACAGGCTTCAGGCTGAGATAGGATTTCCATGATGTTGGTAACTTTGAATACAAAAGCTGAGGCAGTCAATACCACTGGGAGCAATTAAACATAGACCACAACACTGCAGAGGAGCATGGCAAAATGCTGCTTTCTTGCCCTTTTCCAAGGTGCTAAATACTGTTTTGCAAAAGCTACATATACTCCTTCAGATGTGATAGAACCACCAGCTACCTCCCAGAATGCCCTCCACCCACACAAAAACAGCTTTGGGCCATCCTCAACTGCTTTCCCAGGCCACAAGCAGGGAGCTGGATGGGAAGCGGGGCTTCCAGGACTAGAACCTGTGCCCATATGGGATCCTGGGCATTCAATGCGAGGACTTTAGCCACTAGGCCATCGCATGGGGCCCAAATGTGCTTTTTAAAGTGCTATTACTCTTTCAGATTCTAATATTAAACCAGCTTATTCTCAAAATTCCACAAAAATAGCTCTACAAAAAAGACTATTTGAATACAGCATTTACTGGTAAGTAGAGTCACTGTTAAAAGAAATGCTCTCTGTGCTGTTTTTGCAGAGCTAACTCCATACTCAAATAGGAACAACTTTATTAGTGAAAACTTCTTAATTATCTATACTAACGGAGGTGATTAAAGCTGTGAAAGTTGTCGGAATCAAAAAGGATCATTTATGCCAAATCTTCACATAACAGAGCCAAGAGACCATAAGGCAAGGGGCCTACGTGTAATTATCTAATTACAGGAACAGTCACAAAGGACTGTCAAAACCACAACCTTGCACAAGGAGTATTTATGTCTCCCAGGACACCTGCCTAGAAACTGCCTATTCAGCCTTGGACTGACATCGCTTTCATTATTAATCCTTCTGGCTAAGGAAAATTGCTTCAGAACAATTTATTTAACCTTCATGAGCTTACTTTTTAAAAGCTTTACCTGCTTTGCCTCCTGAGGGAGACATACACCCCCACCCGCCCACCCGTAGTTTGTCATGCATGCATATTCCAGATTGCAATCCTTCTGTCACTCCTAGATAAACTCTTTCCTTTGGCGTGACTTCCTCTGTGCTGCTCACCTTTGGATTGACCTGGCAGAGATAACAAAAAATAACTAACCTAAACATGCGTTTTTTAATTTCTATGAATTTGCTTTGGTAGTTATGATTAATGAAATCTGTCATGGTACATCCTAATCCCACATTGAGTAATGACAGGGAAGACAGATTAAAAACTGCACTTTCTGGAAGCCAGTAAAGGTTCCAAAATGCATTTAAAGAATTCTTCAAACAAACAGCCGATTATATAGAAACTTAGAATTAAGCTATCAAAAATTTGCAAATTAAGAGATGTAAATTTGTAATTTTGAGATTAATTTTATGTATTTGAAAGGCAGAGTGACAGAGAGAGAGGTCCAGACCAAAAAAATATTCTTTCGCTTGCTCAATGCCTGAATGATCTCAGTAGCTAGAAATGGAGCTGGACCAGTCTGAAGCCAGGAACTCCATCCATGTCTTCCTTGTGGGTGCAGAGGTCCAGGCATTTGCACCATTTTTCTCAGACACATTGGTAGGGAGCTGCATCAGCACCATGATACAGAATGCCATCATCTTAAGTAGTGGCATAACCCACTGTGCCACGATGCCAGCCACTGCAATTTTTGCCTCATGTGTTAGGTTGTTGGTATCACATTATAATGTAAATGAAAATTTCATTCTTGTAGTACAATAACTTTCTTTTGATTTTATCTT